CGCCATATCTAATTAATACATACGGTGAATTCGCGATCGTTAGTGCTGTATGATAGATGCATAATCGACACATTGGATCGCAGTGGATTGCAGGTGTATAGTCGCGCGCAGTGAAATAAAATACACTTCCGTTCCTTTCTAATATATAGGAACAAAACTGCATTATAACAAATTTTTCTATAAATAACCATCTTCCCATCTGGGAAAAATTTCATGTACACTAGTGAAAAAATTTAAAAATTTATTTTCATGACATATTGTTTTTGCAAAAAAATTTATTGTTTATACCACTGAGTAACTCTCAAAATTTTGTTTTATATTTTTATGAAATTTTGCTATCATGCTTCGTTCAAAAATTATAATCAAAAAACGAAAATCTGGATCATTTTCAAGGGCTGATTTCACCCCCTAAACATATTTTTCAACTGATAAAAAAAAATACGTATAAAATATTTTTATTTCTACAAACTCACAAAGTGTCATTTAAAACGGAGTCAAGCACTTGGGAATTTTTACTCGTGAGTATACACTTGCACTGTTCAGCAGTCAATATATAAGGTGTTTGGTCGGACACCTTATATATACTCAGGTAGAGAATTTTCTCTTTAGTTTCCTTAGTAAGCTTTGGTAGGTTTCGGTAAATTGACTCATTCTGTCGTGACCTACAGACAAAACAACCATAGAATATCTGAAATTCTTGCTATTAAAATAATATAAAGAAGAAACCGAGAGAGAGAGAGAGAAAGAGAGAGAGAGGGGGGGAGAGAGAGAGAGAGAGAGAGAGAGAGACGGAAGGGGGACCAGGATGGACAGAAAGAGATTACCGCGAAATTTCTTTTTGCAAAGGACGCGCGATCTCGTTAGTCGGGGCCGAAGGTGATTTATCAAGCGACCGCGTCATTACGCACAGAAAGGGACACCCGGTTGTACACCATGCGATCCGTCGTCGTCGTCGTCCTACCGCCTAAGAAGAATACGTATTAATTTATATCTGCATGCGACCGCTATTGTCATGTTAATCGGACCTCTGCGCATTAGCCGAGAGCTTTTCGTTCAAGCGTGCGTGCGTACGTGCGTGCGTACATGCATGCATACGGCTGGGAAGCAGTGAGCCACACGCACGAAAGTCGAGAGACAGCCAGTGGGGATCTGGGAAAGTCGGGCAGAAGGGATTTCCATTGAACTTGGCCCTGGACTACTGGGATCCTCGGCGACTGGGTGATTCGGCGGGAGAGATCGCTTCGATTGCGCGCGACCTCATGCGCGGACCGCAGAAAGAGAGAGAGAGAGAGAGAAAGCGTGTGCGGTGGCCGTGTTGTCGGTACCACTTCCACTTCCGGTTCGAGCATTTTCGGATTGAAAACGCGGGGTGGAGCTTGGAAATTCGCGACGAGCGCGCGAAATCCATCGACGTTTCGCCATAGCGATTTAGTTTTGCGTTAATTTTATTTGTACCGAATATTCAACACGTTCCTCGAGATATCATTTTTCTCGTGCGCGACTTCCTGATATATATTTTGCCGCATCATTATATCTAGTACAGAAGCAAGACGTTATATCACGTTTACAACGAAAATCGCAATGTGAAAATAATAAGTTTTAAAATATAACCTATTGAACTACAAGTATTATTATTTATAATTTTTAATTTAACGTCCACAGTTTAATTTAAAATACATGCTTCAAGCGTTACAATACTTGTATAGTAATATTCATAGATTCATAACTCAGCGTCGCTTGTTGCAAGCCTTCTCGCTTCGAACGTCCACTAGATGGCTTTGATATCTTTCTCTCGAAGTCAAATTTTGGTTGCTTTGTTATATAAAGAGCACACGCAGCCGATGAATAACTACCTGTCTCTATGAAAAGTATGTAGAAATTCTTAACATAAAGAATCTCGTGTCTTTTTCTCGTCCACCAGAACGATTTTAATAAAAATTATGTTATCTTTATAAAAAAAAGGATCTATTTTGCTATGACCTTAAGCTTGTCATACATTATAAGAGTCACGATTCTGAGCAACATACAGAGAGTTTTATCTGTCGCTCATTATTAACGAAAAAATTATTAACAAAAATATGCATATGTTTTACAGGTATCTTTTTATTTCAATGTATTTCGCAAGAATTTTTAGCATATATTTCCTTGCTTCTTTCCTTAACGTTATTAAACAGATATGAACGATACAAGTACTCAGGAGTCTTGAAAGTTATAAAAAAAAGATATTTGAAAAACGTAAGAGGTTTTGCCTATTTATCATAGTTTGTAAGCAGCTTTCAACATGCTACTATATGAATTTCTAAGTTTTGTTGATAATAAAAAAAATTAAAAAGTACATTTTTGGATGGGTTTCGGCCTCCATCCTTTATAAATAACCTGATCTGATCCTGACCTGAAGTATTGTTGGGTATTATCGAATGCGTGAACATTATATTTAGTTATTAACAAATATACATTTATGCACGTACATTTTAACAGCCAACAACGCCATTCTTCCCCAAAAATGTAATTTTTTTATGCTAGTCTATACCATATCTACATTTTTAATATATATGATATATGATAATGATTCATCAATTTAATAAGACAAAAAATTTAAACGTCAATAATTGTTTAATAAACAACGATTAACGTTAAACCATCTGGAAGTTACTTACAAGGAAACCCACACAAGTGTCCGCCTCCGATTTTCATGAACTTGTAATATGTTGTACTTTAAATCAAAATAACAGATACGTTTTTTATTATATGTGCCTTTTCGCAAGTTTAGGGGGTGAAATACTCCTTCGAAAACAACTGGTTAAAAAATATTGTAATGTTTCTTTCATTCGAAGGGAATATAATGAAAACTATAGAGATAGAAAAATATTTTGAATAAAAGTTAAATAGTTTGAAGAAACAGTTTCTTCAAAAGGGTATTTCACCCCTAAACTTGCGAAAGGGCACACGTAATAAAAATCGTATCTGTTATTTTGATTTAAAGTACAACATATTACAAGTTCATGAAAATCGGAGGCGGACACTTGTGTGGGTTTCCTTGTAAATAACTTCCAGATGGTTTAAAGTTAATCGTTGTTTATTAAACAATTATTGACGTTTAAATTTTTTGTCTTATTAAATTGATGAATCATTATCATATATCATTTCTTCATTTATATCATATACCATTCGTTGCAATAAACATCCAGCATCGGCTCTTAATAGCCTTATTCCTCTCTCTTTCTCTTTCTATCTTTAATGTAATTTATACCACAAAATTTTCTTCGTATATCGAGACACTTTGTACATTTGCTACGATCCACGCGCTAACTTCGATCCTTTTGACCTCTTATAGATTATTTTAAGTTGCAACGCGCGCAACATCTCGGCGAGACGATGTCTCGCGTCCGAAATGATGATAATAAAACGACGCGATTCGCACGAGAGTCCAATCGACATCTGGCTTTGAATCTCCAGAAAAACGATGAATGTACCCGCAGCGAGAGCGTTTGTGCGGTATTCGTTGGAAAAAAAGAAGGAAAAAGAAATGACGCCCGTATCTGTGCGCGCGTCTTGCGCACGAACGTCTCGGATAAACATCTAGTTACCCTCGTGAGAAGCAGGGGCAACGACACGCACGCAGGGAGATCGAGGTTTCCGCGTCGAAAAACTCGACAGGATTATCGCCATGGTAAGCGCGGCTCCGAACGCGGCGATTCGATGCCGTCGAACTTCCGCCTCACCGTTCTCGCGCCAACCTGTCCATCAACGCGCGCGCGACTTTCTGACTTTCGAAATCGCACGCTCGTTCGCTCGAGGGGGTGGAAGGTAAGAAATTCGCGGCAAAGGTTACCGGGATGCGGGAATGATGAGTCTCGCCCCGAGGCTCGAAAAGTCGTTGATATCGAATTCGAGAGGTCGCTGAAATAAATCGTTAGCTCGAGGATAGGGTGGAAGGGGTTGCTGCCGCCGCCATTGGTTGCTCGAGGGTCAAAGTTACTAGAGACGCCTTTTATGATCTTTTTCTTTTACGAGTACCGGAAAAGGAAGCTCGCGTCTCGCAAATTGGGGCGTAATTTCGCGCGAAGATCGGCGCGTGGGAGGGTAAATACAATGGGGGGTAAAAGACGATTGTGTGAAGATCTCGCATGGGATTGGCGAATGGCAAGCCGAAAAACTACGTTCGCCAATGAGAAAGAGAACACTTCCCAAAGTTACAATCGTCTGGTCACTAGAGTCGAGAAACATTGAGAATGGTCAGTATTCAGTGGGTGACCGCTTAGGAACACTGTGTACTATTGACACATTTAAAAAAAATAAGAAGAAAAGAAAAATATTGTGTAGGATATAAAAGTGAACTGAGGTAATACGCGCCATATTGACAAACAATAACATCTAATAAGAAATGAGAGAATGTGTTAGAACGGGAGCTTGCATAGCTCAGTGGTAAGAGCAATCGCCCGGAAAGATCCTGGATCGAAAGATCCTGGATCGAATCCCGGCCTAGCAACGCCTCCTGCAGCTTCCGAACTTTTTTCTCTCCGATTCTTACAACTGCGAGAATCATAGATTTTTAGTGGTTCTCATCTTGCTACGTTTCCTCGAGAGGAGAGAGAGAGCGGACGAACGTGTGCGGACCGGCGCGAGATGATACGCGCAGCTCCCGGCGAGCAGCAGAGACACACAGCCTTCGGCTTCTTGAGTCTTCGCAAGACTCGCCGTAGAGATCGTCGAAGACTAGCTCGAGCGATCGCGGAACGAAGAAGAAAGAAGTCACTCGAGCGAGCATGTCGTTCTTCCGACGCTCGCTCATTCGCTTACTCGCTGGCTTGTTCGCTCGCAGAGGTTATGCGCGCTTGCGTACCATCTTCAACCCCTGTTCTCTCCATGGGCTCCTCCCCGAAGAGCCTTCCCCTGCACACTATTAACCGTGAGACACGTGCATCGCGGAGCGGGTCGCTAAGAGCACGAGCTCGTCGTTTCTCTTTTCTCCAGTAAGGACTGCCTCTCTCTCCTACCAATCTCTTTACCTTCCCCACCAACTGTGGTCCTGGGCGAAGTCCTGACGCGTTGGTGTGTTCCCGCTTGTGATGGAGGACGGACTTTGATAGCCGAGAGGTCCCGACATCGGCCGAGTCGTCGAATGTGACGCCAGCCCGCGAAACGAATAGACAGCTGCGTACGAGCGGGCTTGCTGAGCAGCAAGCGAACAAGTAAAGGAACCAAGTTTTGTTGTCCGCGATCGGACAAAGACTACTGTGACTGAGTGTGTTCGCACAGTGAATACGCACGTTATCATCATTATCACCGCAACTCAGCAGCCCGCCAAACCAAAGGTATATAATGTACAACATCTTCCTCTCCGTTGGGCTGTGGGATTGGCGTCGTGGACTTTCGTTATTCAATGTGTCTAGTTTATAGGGAATGAGAAAGAAAGAGGAGAGAGAGAACGTGAGGGCTGCGTGTGCAAATATGTGCGAGAAAGGGTAAATAAAGGGACAGCAAGAGAGGGAGAGGGTGTTATTATGATTGTGGAATTTGGAAGTGAAATAACGCGACTGGTGTGTGAACTAATGTTTCGTGATTTTTGCGTAAGACAAAAAGTATTCCCAGATAACACATATCGTTTAGAAACATTTTCGAAACGTTTTATATGTTTCGAAGACGTATGTGAAAGCAATGGTTGCTACTAGAGTGTTACTGGACATCATGAGTAAGCTCCACTTGGGAAACCCGGAAAATGACGCTGTATATACCTAACGACGACCCATGGGGCGAATGCGATAGTTATTAAACACCCCAACTTAGAAGGAAGAAAAGAAGTGAAAGAAAATAGAAAAAGAAAGATACAAGTGGAAATCAGAGGTCTTTGGATTAGATAAGTCGGAGATTTTACGTGGTTTGTCGGGAAGATTTCGACCAAATCGCTAGCGAACTTGAAGAGCACAATGAGAAGGAGCATAAAATCACTTTCGTCCTCTTTCGGGTGAGTTCGACTTGGCTCGTCGACGAAGAGGGAGAGAGAGAAAAACAGGAGAGAAGAAACGGGTCGCTAGAGAGTGAAAGAGAGAGACCGAAAGAGAGAGCGAGAGAGAGAGGAAAGAAGAGAGGAGAAAAAGAGAAGAAAGAAGAGAGAAAGAAATAGGGTGAGCGAGAAGTTAAGCAAGAAGATGCTTCCTTCGCGCGTTCGGGGGTTTTTGATAATAGCACATACCATATCATACCAACAATAACAACATCGATAACAATATCAATATTGCCAATCGCCATTGTTGCTATTGTTACGTTCATTGCTATAGAAATTTGTTTCAAAGCTACTCAATATTTTTAGTCTACCGCAGACCCTCTTAAGTTTGAAGTAAATGGTTAATAAGTTATTCGATCAAGTTGTATCAGCACACACACAAACAAATGCTTTCTCTATACGGTACGCAAAGTTATCAACAAAAACTTAAAAACATCTTTGGAGGAGTTGTCAGCAAAAACTTAAAAACGTCTTTGGAGGAAACCTACAGAAACATCGGGTGTAGCCTACTACCTAAGAAGCCAATGTTGATACCACAATTGTGGCGATGAGTGTGTGCAGGGGATCTACATGCAAGGGATATACATTGATTTAAACATCTGATAAAACTTAGCAATTTGTTGTAACGAAAAGTGAAAGAAGTGAGTGTTTCTCAGCTGAGCAGATTAGATTCTCGCCACAACGAAAACGAGCTTCTTCCACCCCAGCTGGAGGAAGAGATGGAATTGTAAGGTTCCCTCCAACAAGTAGCTCGGGTGTTTCTTCGCGTGCGAATTGTCGTATATAGGGGCCTTCACGGGACAATGATACGGCGACGGGGAGGTGACGAAATGATAATACGACAATCGGCGTGCATTTTCGTGGTTCTGATCCGCGTTCATCAGTACTCGCCATCATCGGCGGGACGGTGAAGGTACCGCCACCGTCACCGCGGGTTCCACCACCTCCGGTTCCGCCACCTCCACCACTACCCTCCGCCCCACTACTCTACCACCGTTACTACCAGTGGCGTCGTCGCAACCACCACTACTATCAGCACCACCACCACGCCACCGCTGCCATCCGCCGTCAACGCCTCTTGCGTTTGCCGGCGGCGGTGCACGGTAGTGTCCTCGAGCACGGCATGCACGTATCGTGCTGCGAAAGTTTCACGAGTTTCGCGGTGCGCCAGACGAGAAGCGTGTTCGTCGTGTGCCGACGCCGACGCCGGCGTCGCCGTCGGGACGTGTGAGAGAGAGACCGGGATAACGACAGGCGCGTCCCTCCCCGAAAAATCCGCTCCTTTCTCCAAGGCTCGACACTTACGCACGCAGCGTGTGTGTGTGTGGGAAACAGGTTCTTAAACCACGCATTTATTCCGTTTCCGTCAGCGCGGCTTTTATCCGCGAGAGTGGGCTCCGGCTCCGAAAGGACCCGCCACCAACCGTCGCCACCGCCGCCGCCGCCGCCACCGCCGCCGCCGCCGCCGCCGCCGCCGCACTGCCGATGCCGGCTGGCTGCCTGTCCGTCCGTCCGTCCGTTTGGTTCGTCTCTCAACAATCCTCCGAACGAGCGTTTTTGATTGGCACACATTTACGCCCGTGAATTCAGATCTTTGAGTTCGGGTATCGATTCCTGTTATCTGTCGAGATGAGTTTGCATTGATGAACTTGAGTAAGTGCCATAGAGACCCTTCAGTCTCGTGAATTTCGTGACTTGCTTGTGGATATGTAATGGTGACAGTACAGCATCTCTGGTCGCAATCGTTAACAACGCGGCGAGATCGAGCGCACGATAAACGAACGAAATTCGCGATTGGTCCGAGAATCAGACGGTGCGCGAATTCAAAAAGTCGTGCGCACGATAAACAATAAGGAAGGTATTGTCGGGTCGCGAGAAATCGCATCGTCTGCCAAGCGCGACGCGTTATCGCGAGTCCGCCGAGAACTCTGATTTGGGACGGCCAACTAAGCCGCGCTCGGCTCGGCTGCTTAACCTGCTGCGGGGGGATGGTTCTTTTTTCGTTTTGTGTCGGTATATGGGCGCGGGAGGGAGAAATTTCGACTGGTCTCTGGCGCGTACGGGCCGAGGAATACGAACGAGGGATATTGCGCGAGGACAACGGCGGCGGCAGTGACGGCCTACGAAAGATTCGCTCCTTTTATACGTACGACGAGTTGCCCGGCATTTTTGTTCAACTACTTTGCTTTTCTATCAATTGACTTGTTTACGTTTGAATTATTGTTGAGGAGCTTTCTGTTAAGTTTCTGTCAGGCGGACGTAGCGTGCGAAACGTGCCGCGCAAAAGCGTTTTGAGACGTGACACCGGGAGATCGATTATTTTCTTTTACTGATTGAACAGAATAATTAATGTAGTAAAATGAACTCGTTGGCAAATTTATATACGTCGGTAATTGTCACACTGACGGATATTATATACGTCTTTTTTCATGTGTCTTTAGTAGTAAGCTAACATTTTTTTTTAGGAATCAATAGTGGTGAAGATACTGGTGGTGGTAGTAGTAGTAGCAGTAGTAATAGTAGTAATAGCGATAGAAGTAGTGTGTAGTGCTCTGACAGTACTTCAACTAGCAATCTATCCGCGCAATTATCTCTGTTTTCTACTAACCCTAATAATGATTGGGATCATCTAATCACTAATTTTTTACTAATTATAAGACCAATTATCCAGCGAACCGCTGGGTCCCCGAAAATCTCGATATCTTAAATTTCGCGATTTTACAAGTCGTGCGATTTTTCGCGACAGTCGGACGTTTCAGAACACGTCACAATGATCGCCTCGAGAAAAGTTTTTTTATTGCACGCTGAAAAGAGAGTAAAACGGCCGGCCGCGTCTCACAATTCAGCCGCGTAATATTTTTTCACGCAGCACTCTTTTTCGAAGCCCGTGCGTGGGCTCGGACGTCGTTGCGTGCATTAATCCGTGGTTTAGCGAACCAATTTAAATATCAGCGGCGCGCTCGACGCAATTTTATATCATTTCCGATATCGCGCGCCTGTGTGGGTGGGTTTAACGCTGCGAAAGCCCTCCGTCGCCCCCTCTCCACCTCTCTGTCTTTCTCTCTCTCTCTGTCTCTCTCTCTCTCTCTCTCTCTTTCTCGTTCTCCGTTGGCCCCCAGATCCCCTCCTCGCGCGTCTTTGGCGTCCCTACCCTTAACACGAACCGTTACGCACCTACACCAGATATGCGTGTTTTACGATGCGTGTCGTCGTCGCGTACTCCGTCTTCTTCGTCGTCGTCGTCGTCGTCGTCGTCGTCGATGTCGTCGTTGTCCTCCTCGTCGTCCTCGTCGTCCTCGTAGTCGTCGTCGTCATCATCATCATCGTCCTCCTCGTTCTCTTCTTCGTCATCGTCGTTTGTAAACGTGCGTGTGACCGGCACTCGTACGTGATGCTCGTAACGTCGTCACGACGTACTTGCGGTATCTCAGAGAGAGAGAGAGAGAGAGAGAGAGAGAGAGAGAGAGAGAGAGAGAGGGAGAGAGAGGAGAGCGAAAGAGAGACTGCGCATGCGCTAAATGCATGCACACACGCACACAATGTATACAGGGTAGCTCGTCTTCATTTTCGAGACGAACGTTCACCGTCACTGTAATTCGACACTGTCCGGTCACTTTTTGTTAAATTTCAATTTGACCGTGGTCACATTCCAGAACCCCGGGGAACCCGTCGATTGTGGAAAAACCGGTCAGTAAAAAGTTTCACGATCGTCGGGATATAATAATGAATAATATCCTTCAATAGTAGTTTTCAGAGATTCCAAAGAAATCAGGCACCCTATACACGGACGAAAAGCAGCGCGCAGGCAAACTGCGCCGCCGAACGCGCAAGTGTGCGTGCGTGTGTGCAGGCGTACGCGGCTCGTCAAGCCGATTTTGCCCTCGCGCCCGATTTTTCTCGCGTTGTTACGCGGTGAGGGACCCCACGGACCAACAGTAAAATACCTCTAGGTCCGAAACCGGACAGCAACAAGTGACTTTGGTCGGCCGGGTGTACACACGCGCGATTCGTGGGGCACCTACCGATCCCTCCCTGCCCGCCCCCGCGTTCGCCCGCCGGGTACTGCGTCCACTTTGGCGCGAATCCTTTGTTTCCGCGATGAGTTGCATCGCCGGCCGCGCTCGTGAGAATTCACGGGGAAGTTTGACGGTGGAAGAGAGGGGGAGGGAGAGGGGGCGAGCATCTTGTTTGGGTTCGCTAGGCATCGCGAGGAAGTCGAGTTTCGTCCAAATAATTACGCGGAAGCGATTCCTCCGACCAATTGCGGTCAGGCGTTAGTGTTCGGAAGGGTCGAGACACGAATTATGCGGC